TTGGCCCTAGGTTTCTGATGCTGTCACTATTTCTTTCCGTGTAAGAACAGTGACAAACTGAAACCTGGTGGAGGGGCTGGCTTGCAGCTCCCCAGGGATGTGGGTGTAGGAGGGGGATACGAACTGAAACAGTTTGCTTTTCTGCAAACTCTCACATTTTCCCCATCCGTCCTAATTTGTAACGCTCCTATTTTCCCCAACCATCCTAATCCCAATCCCATGTACCTCTTCAAGCAGTGTTTTCATGCTCTCTACCCGGGCTTTCATCTCGGGCACAGCCTCTCTCCTATTCAAACACCATGTCTAGCATTAAAGTGTGATTGGCTTTCTTAGTCTCCACCTGTAATAAAAACGAGCCTGGCTCAACAGCGATAATGATGGCAACCCCTTTTCAGGTTTATAGCTTTATTGCTCAAAATGCTCTTACTGTGAAAAAATCTCCTTCTGGTTTTACGTGTATAATAAATACCCACACCGGCGTGCCTGACCAGGAGATTTCGGTACTGGCTGGCTGGCAGACTGAGGGCCCTCACTCCTGCGTCTATCCTGCACACAGCCCAGCTCCACAGGATACTGGTACGCAGCCTTGGCCCAGCTCCACAAGAAGCTGGTACGCAGCCATGGCTGAGCTATATAGGGAGCTGCTAAGCCGGGAGCTGGTGTGCAGAAACATGCACAAAGGTAGCAAGAAGCAATCTGGACATAAAAGATCCTGCTGGTCCATCCTCTCCCTGCCCTTCTAGAAAAAAAGAAAAAAACCCCAATATGGCAGAAGTCTCTGTGGCAGGTCCTCCACCACTGGCAGAGGTTTTCAGGCTGGATGCTGGAAACGAGATTCAGGAAATACAGCAGGAACAACGGAAGAGAAAGGAGGGCATGTGCACGCTCATCAATTCCCGACAGGCGCGAGGTTGAAGTGAAAAGCTTCCCGATGGCCTCCAACAAGCTACTGAAGCATGAATACAGCAGCTAATTGAGAGGCAGAGTTGATTGCCTGCACTGCACTTAGACGCTTCAGGTTGAAAAACCACAGAAGAAACCTCAAAGCGGTATGTGAAATTATACGGGACACAGGCAAAGAGGGCAAGGAGACGGGAATCTGTGGTGTTAAACCTTAACCATGACAAGCAGCAAAATGTTCAACAGTTAATTTAGAACCCAGAGCTGAAGGACTTGCACCTTTCTGCCTACCGAAGCCTTTGCCTGCAGCAAACAGATGTAAACAAATTACGGGAGGCTGTTAAACATTGGCAATAAACTATCCCCGGACATACACAGGGTTGTGGAGTGTTGCTTAATAAACTCTAAAATGTTTTTCACCTGTTTTTTTGTAGGTTGCTGTTCATTTTCCTTCTGGAAGTGATAGTAAATGCAGGATCAGTTTGTCAGTGATGTATGCAAATTTTTTACTTATCCTTAGAAATTTTAACTGTCCCTGCCTCCAAATAATCTGGCCTCCCTTTCATTTCTTTGTTAGAAAAGATAGCCAGTCTGGCTTTCGTTTTCCTGTTGCATGTGTATTTGTGCGTGTGCGTTCGCATGTGCATGCGTATATAGTAGTGCTAGAGCAGGTGTTACTCGATGTGTTGACACCGAAATTAATGTTATTCTCAAAGCAGTCATTGTGCATCAGGTTCATACATTATCCTGGAACAAGGACAGTTTCTTTCTCTAAACCATCCTGCAGGCACATTTGTGTGGAGCTCTAAGATGAATTCTGCAATAAACATCAGCCCCGGTGTCTGGTACAACCCAGTTTCAGCCACGGGCGCATTACATACCTTTCATCCGAAGCAAACAGGTAAAAATTAATGCTTAGGTCATCTCCTAGGGTTGCCATGTGACATAGCTGGTAATACAAATACTTAACATTGTAAAATAAAATCAATATTAAGTCCTTTAATAATGCAATGATTTTATAATATAACTATTAATAATAAGCATCATCTTATTTTTATTTATTCCAAAGTTACAGCAGTTACACTAGTGACACTAAATCATCTTGAATATGTAACCAAAGAAATCATTGCTGAGAACCACAGAAACTTCAAGCTGTACAGAGGACTCAGCCACTTCAGATTCCTGTGTTCCTTTGTCTGTCCTCAGTCCCTCTGTCCACGACAGTATTTATAGCGTGCGGTCACATGTTGAGGAAACTTGGATGGTATAAAGGCACAAGAATAACTATAAATGAATCAGAAATGAGCACCCCGGAGTAGCAACAATAAGAAAACCAAAAGGCTTTTGGAAAGCAGTGCATTTTATTCCCACATCTTATTCTGCAGTCTTCCGCTGATGCTATTAAAATACCTCAGCGCGAGGCAGTATTTTTATTTTATTGTGCGACAGTCTCTGTTACTGAAAAAGTGGATTGCATTTGCCAAATTCCCATTTTAATTTAGGGAATTTACAGGTTTAAACAGAGTACAATATAATCACATTTCGACTATACATGCAAATGTACAACATCATAACAGCAGCTTTTTTAAGAGTCAAAACTGTTTGCATTTCCGCAAGTTTCTACTAATACTTCAACAACAGTAAGCGGCAAAACATTGAACGCCCCCAGGAAAGAGTCCTGCAACAAAAGCCCAGGGGAGAGCTTTCTACAGCACGTGCCAAACACCGAGCGTTCGCTACGGGATCTAAGACTGGCATCCAGCTGGTAAAAAGATCCACATTTCTTGTGGACAGAAAACACTGAGCACAGTGAGGACAGATCAGAAATGTGGGTTTCTCTTCAGCCATCTGTATGATTACAATGCAGTTCAATGTCATAATGAGTTCAGTAATACAGCAACTATAAGTCATAGGCACAAACTTCTTTAGTCTAGGATGTGTTTGAAAAACTAACAAAACCCCTACTATATCAGCCTATAAACAATAAATAGTGCTTTTATTGCAAAAGGTGCCATATGGAGCTCGAGCAGAAAGTAAACGTATTTTGGCATACAGCCAGTACCTCTCGACTCTTAAACACAAGCTATACATAACGTGTGATGTACAGATCTCCACGCCCCGTCCCCCAGCTCAGCAGCTACAGGCTTTTAGCCTGAATGTCTTTACAACCGCCTCTTTCAAAATTCATGGGCGATGCCAGGTCACCCAACTTCTGCACTCAAAAAACATACTGTCGCACCCGATGTTTCTGCCTGCATTTATTGACAAGAATCTAAAGCTTCCCCAGAGATCAGTTTTGCAAATATTCCCTACTGGGTAAATTGCTCGTTTCGGATTTCAGCGCTGAACGTGCTGTGAGGCTAATGCTGCCTGCTTGGCTTGAGAAGGCATTGGGCTAGGCACTGATTAATGAGGGCTGTGGGAATAATTGATTTTCAGTTCAGTGGCTTAATTAATAATAATAACAACAACAACAAACTTGGTTCGTTTTCTCAGGAGATGATAACAACTTGTTTCAGCCTGTGGTCAAGATGGCCCGATGGTTGGAGCACCCTTTTGGGATGAGGAAGACTCGGAGTCAAATCTCTTCTCTGCCTACTTCTGAGCAAAGGTTTGACCCAAGGACTCCCACCTCCCAAAAGGGTATCCCCAGGCTAAGAAATACTCAAATGCTTGTTTCCCCATCGTTCCCGTTAAATGCATGTGGTACAAAATATTAGCATGTTCAGTAAAGGCCCCACTGGAGCGCCTGCTTCCCGCTTCCCACAGGAGCGCTGGAACGGCCAGGGCGGAGAGGCAGCGCTGCCCCTCGCAGCCCGCGGGGACAGGCTGGGCGCAGGGCAGCAGCTTCCACCAAAGCCACGGATGTCTCCGTGCCGAGGGCACCGAGCATCCCAGCCCGCGAGCGCTTGGCCGTGCGATCTGCTGGAGCACGCTGCAGCTCCCTGCCTGCCTGCCTGCCCGCACTTTCTGCCACTGGACACCACAGCGCGGGGACAGCGAGGGCTGATACGCACAAAGCCATGTCCCAACACGCGGCCAGGATACAGCAAAACTGTCCCGCAAAAGCACTCCTGGGAACCCCGGCAGAGGTGGTGTCCCCAGGTCTCCTATCAGCCTGTACTTCCGAGAGAGGGAGATGGAGAGGACACCTAGGTTCCAAGCCAGGCTCTGATTCACCCGACTTTAGGGTGCAAGGAGGGGATAGCACAAGGCACGCACCGTCCCCCTGGTTTTGGTTTTTTTATAGCCCTCCGAAATCAAATAAATACAGTCCAACATTTCCAATCCCTTTTATTTGGGTCAAACTAATATTCCCAATGCTACATGTAGTTAAAGCTCATAGAAAAACATCCTTCTTTTGCTGACCACAGCTTCTCAAAAGTTCAGATCTGGTTCTGTTCTCATGTACACCACCACAAGACAAAAGTATTTCTACTGAAGACACAAACTACCCAATGTAAACCAGGTCCAAGGCCCAGCCTGGCCAAGGAATCAGGGAGAGTTTCAATTCTTCAGTTAAGAGGGTGATTCTACACCAATATAATTGAAGTGGCACAACCTCTAGCTCTGTTGCAATTGTATCGACACAGAGGAGCACATAAAGTACAGTTAATAGGAGCTTATATATTGCAGGAATATATTTATATTGACTACCTATAATTGGATGGATACAGATACGGAAGCACATCGACAGAGCCTCCAAATGGTGTTAAAATCACAAGGCTCCAGACACAAGCTAAGCTACAGGCCACCGCCGTGTCACTGGCACTGCCGACTAACTTAATGGTACTGGTGTCCCTCATGGCCCAGGCTGCTGGGCAAGCGCCCCGTGACTTGCGCTACCCAACTCTCTCTGTATCCACAGCAGAGGACTCGGCACCTTTAGCTGTGGTGGGTCTAAACTGATGTACTGAAAGCAGCTGAAAGCAAGCCCAAAGCATGAGCAAACTCTGACCTTTTGCTTTTTGACAATGAGGTAAAGTCATCCTACATGATTTGGATTTGTCAGCATTGATGTGGAAATGTATGCTCTGCCTTTCCCCCTGTACAGAGAACCAGGTGTCTGTCCTCAAGCAATAGATTTTCAAACCTGCTTTTTAAGGGTTTGGTAGCTCTTCATTTTCTATCAAATAATCCTTCTTTATATAATTAGCACCCCTCACCAACCTCCACACTCCAAGATAGGCATCCTTCAGCGAGCTCCTGTTCACTTCTTGTGTGCCGGTGGCTTTTCCCTGGACCGCCGGTCCCTTGGCAGGTTTCTCAGTGCCGTCCCTCTCCTCCTCTCCGCTCTGGCTGTTCCCTGTGGCTGATCCTTCCACTGCTGCTTCCCCAGCCCCCTTCTCCTGGGAAATCGCCTCCATCGCGAACAGTGCTTGGTCCCCAGCCTGCCTTTCCCCCTCCTCTTCTCTAGCTTCTTTCTCCAGGTCCTCGTAATTGCTCTGCCGTCTGGTCTCAATGTACTTGGCCACGCAGTAAATGACAGACCCCAAGGTGTTGACCACGACACCGGCTATAAATAACTTTGTGGGCTCCACATCATTGAATGCCACCATGCCCACCGTGATGGTTGCTATGCTCTTCACCACCCCCACGAAGCTGGTGGTCACAGCTGAGTTAATGTAAGTGCAGTGAAGGGTGGTAAAGTTCATGGCACAGCTAATCAGGACGCAAGCGATAAAGATGCATACCATGGCGGGGTCCTTCCACCCCGGGAATGACCAGACGTTGATGGAATCCATGCTGGCAAAGGAGCAGATGATGAGAAAAGGGGTGGCCGAAACAGCGATGGCGTACTGAGCTGTCAGGGGTCCGTATTCACTATCTACACTGGTCTTCTGAATGAGCACCAGGTAGGCAGCGTGTATCAGCACGGCCAGCACGCCTGTCACATAGCCCATAGCATCCCCGGTCAGGTCACCAGCTCCTGTCGGGAGAATCACAGAAAGAAACAAGCATTGGTTTTGCATGTGAGACAGAAATCGAGAGCACCGTTTTGGGCTGGGGGGATATTTAGGAAATAGGCACCAGTGCCCTTTCCGTAACTCCTAAGATTTGTCATGCTTTTGCCAAGGCTGGACACACTTACCTCCCAACAGATGTATCTTTTTTTTGTGTGTGTGTGTGCGCGTGCTGCAAACCTATTGAATGTCATCCACTCTCCCCCTAAATCCTGCAGCCAAAATCAGATTGCGTTCTCCCTTTTGTGAAGACACTACAGGAGAATTGCAGCTAAAATTGCACACACGCACAGCCACGCTGGGCATCCTCTTGCCAGTGAGGGCACACGTCAGCTCCGGCTGGCCGGGCTGCCTGCCCTCCAGCCCCCCGGCCCTCCTTCTGCCCTCCTGCTCCCCAAAACAAGGCCAAGCTGTGTGGGGCCCTCACAGCGAGAGCCTCCCTGCTGAGCCCCCAGTCAAGCTTCTTTGCAGATTAAGCTACTCGCCATGTGGGTGTGCTCTGCTCCCTGGGGCAGCCCCCAACCCAGGAGCGTGGCGGAGCCACGCTGAGCCAGCTTTGCCTCCCACCCCGCCTACCCCTCGGCTGGAAATCAACGCAGGTAGGGCCCCCGGCCCCATAGGGTTGCAGCTGACCCCAAAGGTTGCACCTACCCCTGCAGGATTGCACTTACCCCAGTAGGGCTGCAGTTGCCCCCACGGGGTTGCAGTTGCCGCCAGAAGGTTACATCTACCCCTGTAAGGTTGCACGCACCCCCCATAAGACCACACCTCGCTCTGTAGGGTTGCACTTTCCCTAATAGGGTTGCAATAAGGTTGCACCGACTCCCGTAGGATTGCACCTACTCCCATAGGTTTATACCGACCCCCGTAAGGATGCGCCTATCTCCGTAAGGTTGCTCTGAGCCCTGTAAGATTGTACCTGTCACAGCGGGGCTGCATCCGCCCCCGCAAGGTCGCACCTGCCCCCGCAAGGTCGCACCTGTC